GATTTGATTGCCGCCGTTGCCTTGGAATTTATGGGCGCCTCATGGTTCGAGAGATCATCTTCGTTGAGCTTCGTGGCTGTTTCTTAACCTTTTCTTCCTTTCTTAAAAGACCCACTTGCCCCCAACTATACACAGGCTTTGAACTGTTTGATCGACTACCAGGACGAGCTTTTCCTACATTAATGTTGTTAATCTCACAACAACTTGCTTTAGAACAAATTAGTTGGGGTAACTCAAATCTTTATAATTGATATTGTTGATCTAATAATAGCCCAAATCGATAATGATGCCTATTACAAGCGCACAATTACCATTATTACTCTCTATGTTGTTAGACTTGTTTGTTTAATCTTGATTCTTATGGTGTTTGGATGCCCTATGCTTTTTGGATGTTGAAAAGGGTTTGGATGGGGTTGAGACTGACCTCATTCACTATTGGAATGTTCATTTCAATATGCCAACGAAGCGCGAGTTACCTACTAGATAATCCTGTCACCGCATTCTTACCGGGTGCGATCGAGAAGCCTCAAGACCAACAACACACATAAGTCCAAGCCCGACCTTTCTAGATTAACCTAGGTTTTCCGAGACTAGTAAACTATGGTCTCAAATCCTATAAATCAAGTCTTGGACGACTCAACTGATTGGGATGTCCGATGCTTATTGGGACGCTTGATGCTTGCTTGTATTGGTGTATGTGGAGTAAGTTATCTGAACGCGGTTTTACATGATTAACTAACCCCTTTGGATTTGTATCAGGAGGACTAACATGGCGTGTGTTGCAGCGTGAAGTTGATGAGTTTCGTCATTCACCAACTTCTACTTGTTAAATAATGAACGATAATGAGCTATGACCAACCGCTTCCATCATATAACAGCCTTCTCATTCAGCACACATGGGGAAGCACATGCCCAGTTGCTCAAAACTTGTTGAAAAGGTTTAGCTCCATCACTGTTCATTCTCATCCATAGTCGCCCTTGCAAAACATCAATCATTTCTCTGTTAAATCGTAGCTTCTGACAAACTGAGACATCTTGGCTCGCAATGATGCAAGCTGCACCATAATAATAAAACCCTATTTAGGCAAAGAAAAGAGGCCAGAGATCGAGAATAATTATCAATCACATAAAATTCCTTCCTCGAACTCTTCACAAGTACACTTCGTAACAATTTTTGTGTACGCTGTCTTTGGCTGTTTTTTCAATTATCTTGTTGACATTGGTGGCTCGAAGAACATGAAGAGACGTGTGTGAACCAATGTTGGGAAGACATCCCACGTAACAAGATCATGTTGGATCGCCAAAGGAAGTCAGAATTCGTTTGTGAGCTAGGGATGGCAACACTAATCTGGACGGTAGCTAATTTTTAGGAGCCCATGAAGAAAATCGATGGCGTTGGACTCTAACGTGTACGCACAAAGTCCATGCAAATGAAACAGTTGAGCTACTTTTTGTTTAATGCGGGATCTCCATGCTGCGGTTCAAAATTTATCAATTTAATATTTACTTTGCTTCTCTTCCCAGGCTCCTGAATTTTCCATTGACAAAGCCAAGCCGACAACATATAAAATCAAGAAAAAAAGACACAAAAAAATTCGAACTATGCCCACCGTGACACAATTACCACGAACTTTTTTATCGTGCATAAAATATCCCAAACTATGCCCACCTTGACACATTTCTCTTAAAAATTTTCTTGTAATATAAAAACCCCCCAAACTTCTATTTATGTTGCACATTTACCTTCCGTCAATGTTCCTTCAGATGATTTTTCAGCAAAAATAATGTTATTTTTATTTCACTTAAGTTACATGGGCACCGTGTCAACACTGTTTGTTTTCTAACGTACTTGTATGCAAATTTAATAATGATTCTCATTGATAGAATTTTGACAGATGGTCAATATGTCACATAGGTTCAAGTTTGGGATTTTTAGTGTCACAGAAAATTTGTTTAAAGTAAATATGTCACAGTAAGCACAGTTTAAGATTTATGATAATTTTTTTCCCTAAAATCAATATATAAGAGAAAACAGGAAAAAAAAACTTAAAAGATTTTGGATGTGGGGTTTGATTCAGATGGCTTGTGTTGTTCATGGACGTGGACGGAAGGATAGTTATGATCATGCACCTAACACCTTTAAACATTCATGGGATAAATAGTACCACTTATAATTGACATGCATATTTACATAACTTGGGTTTTATTCAAGATGATTATTCTCAAAACATTAGCATAAGGAAATTAGATATAACAAATATGTTTATTAACGTATATTACTTAATAAACTCGAAATACGGTAAATTAAATCTTTTTTGAATAACAATTTCAGCATTTTTTTTTTTGGGTACTGGAGAAAGAAATTGCTACTTGAATTCCTATTCTACGCTATTTGTGAAATTCTTAGCTTAGTTAATTAAAGATGTTATTTAGACAACCCTTTCTGCACAATTTAAGAAAACCGCGTATTATTCTAAAACCAAGTTCCATCCGCATGCACATCAAACGTAGTTGAGTGAAAAATCAAGATTTCAAACGAAGATGTGGATAATCAATTTCCTTCGTCTTTTAAGGATGCATTTGATGATTCGGCTCGAAGAGAAAAAAAGTTTACAATGCTTCGATTTTTCCATTCCAACATCATTGTACCAACATGCATGTCAATTTCAATACCAATATTAATGCATGATTTGGACATAACCTTTTACGTGTCCAACTGCTTTTTAATCTCCACGAATGGTGCTCGTGCAAAAGTCAAGAGCAATTTACTTACAGCTGCTTTCCTCTCATCCTTGAAGTCATCACCTTTGCCTGCTTGCATTAAGTTTTTAAAAGCTATAATGTTTATACTTGTCTAGAAGTCATCACCAAACTCTGAGAATTCCTAAACCTGTTATTTTATATGCCATTTTTTTCAGTTGGATTTCATCGAAAAGAAAAAAGTTCAGTGCTAGTTAGACAAATATATAAATACATATTTTTTTAGTCACCGACTATCGTTTATCTTTTTTTGTTTTCTAAAACAAACCTTCCATTGTATTAAAGAAGTTCAAATATTATATAGAGAAACTGGAGGCTACATCAACATGATAAATTAAAGAAGACTCCGCTAATATTATATTTTTAACTCTACATGGGAGATCAATAAAAAGGAAAGATGGTGCAGTTTCTAACCGATAAAAAGCTCATTTTGCAAGCTCATGAGCAACAATATTATTAGTTCTACTTGTCTAGTTTGAACTCCATCTAGGGTTGTTGTTAAGTAACAAGCGAGAGCCTGAGACAAAATAATGAATACACCAAGGGCAAAGGCTTTGTCTTGGCAAAAGTTTGTCTTGGCAAAAGCGAGAGCCTGAGACAAAATTTGTTTAATTTGATGATTAAATAAAGTAGTTTTGGAATCATGATTGTTCAGCAAATTATGGGAAATAAAAGGAGCCTGGTAATCTGAATTTCTTTGGCCAGATGGACTCTATGCTTGTTCGATGCGTGGGAACATTGCTTGGGAATCGATGGAGCATTATTCTCGATGGAGCATTATTCTCGAGCTTTTTGACAAATGATAAATAAATGATCGAACGAATCAATTGTTTCCATGATAATTTTCATTTATTTAGTTGCGTTATCTTTTAATTTCACGTAAATGGTAAATAATATAAATAATTCAATCAGACGAATCGCTGACCTATTTTCCTCATTAGTGACATAATATTAGATTTTAACTAAATACAAAAACTAGTATAATCATTATCTAATAATTAAATAAAATTGCGATAGTATTTGAGATAATTACATGACGATTATGTGAAATCTCTCGCTTCTTGAAATTCGATTTAAATCTTTCTCGATTTTACAAAGATTTATACTCCCTATTTAGGAAAAAAAAAACCTAACGTTCGAATATCATTCCTTTCTCTACTTATATTCTTATACGACTCTTTCGACTATTTTCTCTTTAGTCGGTACAAATAAAATATTATAAAATCGTCGAAGAGAAAAAAAAATAATTGTCACGAGTGGGATTAAGAATCGATCCATATATTCGAGATTGATCTGTGAAACAATTAGATTTCAACGCCACTCATAATTAGATCTCAATCCGACAGATGGAGAAGATGCCTAATTATGCCAAAAATAAACGCAATCTCCATTGCAAAATCGAATAACAAAAAAATTGATGGAAGAATATCCCTCAATAGATTTTGGGAGTAATAATAGTAATTAGTGAACAACCCAATTTAAACCCCGCATTGTGCTTTGCAAAGAAAAGAAAAGAATCAAATCAAAAAAAGGGAAAATGACAAAAATGATTTTTAATTTCGCTTTAATGTGCAATGTCGTTCTTGAAAACTATTGATAAATATTCAATTTAGTCTTCAGTTTGTTTAAACGACAAATCAGACGTTACTTGATGACGCGGATTATGATACGCTAAGTAGGAAAATGAAGAGTTAGCATGTCCATCTACTTTGAAAAAGAAAAAAAAAACCAATTAAGGGTCTAAATAAGCCCTCTACCTCGACATCGACGGCTCTTCTTTCTTGAAATCAAGCCTAATGGATGGACTGCTCGGAGCCTCACGGACGGGGATGGTTCGATGGGGGCCGAGGTCGATGCCGGCTGCCGGAGGGCGCGCAACCTAAAATATGGGCCCCCTCCTCGGGCAGGTGAAGACGTCGAGTCCATGAAGGATGGCATCGAACGTCTCCGTACAGTCTAGGGACCAGATCGGACATTTAGCAATAATAACTCGAGGACCACATGACCGAAAGAATCAAAAGCCCGGGGAAACGGGCACCGCACATCTAGCCGAATTTCGGGTACGTTCAGTTTACGTGGCGTGTCCCTTGGATGAAAAGGGGACGGAGTGAAAGGGGAAGGAGAGAACGCAAACGAAAACTTCGAAAGGGAGGCGGGACGAGGGGGCCATGCATGGGCGAGGGTGCGGGAAGGGGAGAGAGATGGCTATAAATACTTGAAAAGCCGCTCAACAACAGCCCATTGTACATCCACTCCCAATTTGCTGGCCACTCAATCCCATCTCCCTTTCTCTTTCTCTCTCTCTCTGTCTAGATCTCCTTCGTCTTTCTTGGGCTTCGGCGAAATCAAACCTCCCCCATATACATCTATATAGTTTAAAGGGGAAGCGTCCGAATTCCGAAACGGCAACCGGAGCCGAAGGAGAGAGAGAGAGAGGCAGAGGCAGAGGCAGAGAGAGATTTGAAAAAAGCAGAGAGGAAACAGAGAGCTGTGAGGAGGCGCAGGGGAGAGAGAGCAGAGAGAAACAGGGGAATCGATTGGCTCCAGAAGTAACGGCGGAAAAACAGAGACGCGTCTGCGAGGGGAGGGGAGGAAGAAGAAGAAGAAGAAGAGGACGGGAGGAGGAGGGGTGTTTTCCTCCGTTTTTGTCTCGCCTTCGGATCTGACCATGTCCCTTTAGAGCCCTCCCACCCTGCGGTTCCCACGTCCCCCCACCTCGCATTTGGGTTCTCTCGTTCCGTCCTCCTTTCGCATTCGCCTGAGCTTGGGTTGAGATCGAGGTACGATCTCTCTCTCTCTCTCTCTCTCTCTTGTTCTCGTTCTTTTTCCTCGGGTTTTCTTTCGTCTCGTTTTGTGTTTTGATCTCGAGCGCTTGGACCGCTCGGGAACCTGAGGTACGGAGATAGCATGTTGCCATTTCGTTGACCGCTCGTTGGTGTCAGCGAACCTGGCTTTCGTTTGTTTCCTCTCTCTCTCTCTCTGTCTCTGTGTCCTGTTCGTGTTCGGTGCGGAGATGGATGATATGGCGCCGAGCGTACGCCTTCTTCTTCGCTTCGTTTCTTCGGTTTTATCACCGCCTGAATCTAGGCATTTTTTTATCTTTGTTTTCCGAGGTCATATATTGCATTAGGCACGAAAACTCCGAATTCCCATGTTAGTTTTCCAGGTTTTAAGGCCAGATCTACTCGTCTTTGTACTTTTCCTTTTTCTTTTAGCTTTGCAGCATGCCGTATTGCTATTATTTTCCAAAGGTCGTATCTCTGGTCCGTGTCTGTAATGTGTTTAAATTTTTTCGCCTTCTTTCTTCTGCTTTGTCGATGCGGGGATTCCATTTTTGCATTTTGCTGGGCACAGTTTTGCAATGGACACAAGTTTGAGATTGAAGCAGCAATTTGGCTGCGTTGTGTGCTTCCTGTGGAAGTATAGAAGATAAGATTTTTCGAAGAAGATGTCTGTCCGTAACTACGGAAGCTTTACAACTGAGCAGGGATTTTTCCTACTCTCTGAAAGAATGCTGTTTTTAAGGGAATTTGGTCGAACTGTTCTAACCCACAATGCCGAATGATTTGTTCGCGTTAGTCTCAGTACATTAACCCATTCTCAAGCCAGAATTTACTGCCTTTTCTAGCAGTTCTCATTTTAATTCTGATACCGGGATTTCACCCACAGATTGAATTGATTCTATGTCTCTCTTTGTCGGTAGAATGTGTTTGGTCGGGACCATCACTTGATTTATTAGTATTGGTTTTGTCAAATCGTCTTAAATTGTAATGGTGATGGCTTTTTTGACCTGTCTTGCAGCGGAACAATGGCTCCTTGTGATACCTTCCGTTGAGGTTTTGCTTCATTGGCCCCCATAAATTATTGTGCTCTCGTGACAGACCATCCAGCTGAAGCGCTGCTTTGATTTTTTTTTGGGCAAGTAAGCTGTATAGTGTCACCATGGTTGCCACGGCTACAACTTCTGCTTTCTTCGCAGTTCCTTCGCCAGATTCCATTGCCAAGACCACCAGACCGGGGAATGGGGTGGCAAGTGTGGGGCCAATGAAGTCGAAATCTGCTTCCGGTGGTTTGCAGGTGAAGGCCAATGCACAAGCCCCTCCTAAGATAAATGGTAGCTCTGTCGGTTTGACGACATTTCCAGACAGTGTGAAGATCGAGGATGGGACACCATCACATCCCCCAAGGACCTTTATTAACCAGTTGCCCGACTGGAGCATGCTTCTCGCCGCTATCACAACCATCTTCTTGGCAGCAGAAAAGCAATGGATGATGCTTGACTGGAAACCAAGACGACCGGATATGCTAATGGATCCATTTGGTCTTGGGAGAATTGTTCAAGATGGTCTTGTGTTCAGGCAGAATTTTTCTATCAGATCTTATGAGATAGGTGCTGATAGGACGGCATCTATAGAGACGCTGATGAATCACTTACAGGTATGGACGTAATTTACAATCCGAAACAGTAATTTAGGATGTTCAGTTCATTTACTTATGCAGGCCAACAAGCATGTTTTTTTTTTAGTAAAGCTACTATTCAGCAGGCTGCTATTTGTCTTTTGCATGAGACTTTTTTATCCTTTCCTTGCAGGAGACGGCTCTTAACCATGTTAAGACTGCTGGACTTCTTGTTGATGGCTTTGGTTCTACCCCGGAGATGAGCAAAAGAAACCTCATCTGGGTTGTTACTAAAATGGAGATTTTGGTAGATCGGTATCCCAGCTGGTAAGCAAGATATCTACGACAAAAAAAATATAAGATGCATTCTTGGCTTGGTTTTTTGATGCATTTCGTGACTCATGATATTCTTGTTGCTAAGGGTTGATCTTTTACAGCATTTTTAAGCCTTGGGATTAAGAAAGTGACAGTGTGCCATAACGTACATTTAGCCTAAGCTAGTTTAAAGTAGTGATGATTAACCGTGCGCAACTGCCTCCATGTAATGGAGGATGATATGCTATGTTTTGACATGTTGCATGTGAATGGGGAGTTAGCTTACCTTTCCAATGACTTTTTTAAGCTATAACCCATACTACAGTTTTCATGTACGTCTGAAGCATTGGACAGGTTTAAGGTCAAGCCAATTTGTTAGTCTTGACCTTAAGATGTAAGGTGCTTTTGGATTTTGAATGTTAACACTTGTGAGACCGCAAAATTTGGGGCTTAGTTGGTGACATGTGCTAGTACGTATTCTACATGGTTTTAGATGTCCATTTTTTCATATTACCTATAAGTTTTAGTTGTGCACAAGTTTGCATCTCTCTAATGTCGAAACACCTGATCATTCTGTTGTAAATGTTAAATTTTTGAAGTTTGGCGACGTTCCTGAAGATGGGTCCATATGTAGTATTAGGAGACTAGTGACCGCCATACTGTTTTTGGCAAGTAAAGACTAGTACCATCGGAGTTGATTGTTGTAACCAAGAATCATGGGTTCTATGTGATGCATGAGAAGGTTCGATGTGAAGTGGTTTTTGGGTTAATATGAGCAAATGACAACTTATTGCATGTTTGTATTGCTTGCAGGGGAGATGTCGTTCAAGTAGATACATGGGTTTGTGGGTCTGGAAAGAATGGCATGCGGCGAGATTGGCATGTCCTTGATCTGAAAACGGGAGAGACTCTTACAAGAGCCTCCAGGTACGAATTTCTGGAATAAATACAATTTGACTTGGCCTTTTCAATGACTTGAGTTTCCATAATTGATGGAAAAAAAAGCCTGTTAATTTATAAATTAATTTCAGCATTCTCTAGTTAGAGTCTCTCACAATGGGCTTCATTACTCCATAATTTTTTTTTTTTTGCACTTTTAGCATAGATATTTCCTTTCCACATCATGCTTTTAAACCGGCCTTTGTAATCGATAATTTATTTGAGAGATGTACACAACAATTGAACAGATGAGCAACTAATATTTTTGCTTCTCCTCTGAGGAATTTGAATTGTATGATTGGCTGTGTTAATACAATAACGTGTGCATCTTTTGGTATTTCTGGGTTGATATCTGCAGTGTGTGGGTGATGATGAATAAACATACAAGGAGATTATCAAAAATTCCAGAAGAAGTTCGGGGAGAAATAGAACCTTATTTTATGAACTCTCCTCCTGTGGTAGCTGAGGACAATAGGAAGTTACCGAAGCTGGATGAGTGCACTGCAGATTTCGTTCGATCAGGTTTAACTGTAAGTGCACATCTTCTTTGTAGAATTCAACTGTAGCTTACATTTACTGGCAATCGTGTTTAAAAGTGGTAACATTTCTTCATTCTCGTGTCTACTTTATGCAGCCTAGGTGGAATGATTTAGATGTCAACCAGCATGTCAACAATGTGAAGTACATAGGCTGGATTCTTGAGGTATTACTTAAAGCGTAATAAGCCCCTATTTTGCCCCATCTCTCCTGTCTCTCCTTTTACGTCTAATTGTCTCAATAATAATCAATGAATGTTATCCAGTGTCCTATTTGTCCTGGAAGAATTAGCGTATTATCTGTACTCAAATCCGGATAAGGATAATGTTTGACTGCCATCTGCTTTGCTGTCCAAATAGATTAATGGGGATTGGTTCTGTCATCAATAACATACGTTAACGGCGGTGCACAGCATATCTGTATGCATACTTTGCATAGCTGTCCATGTTTCAGTTGGTAGCACCATTTTTGTTGCATTTCTATTTTGATGACAATGGGGCTCTCATTTGACACATGATTAGGAACCTTTTGATTGCTAAGCACATGGGGCTCCCACAAATGTTCCCGAGATCAATAAATTAATAGAAAATAAGTGAGAAGTGCCTTTGTGGATGTATTCTCCTGGAAGCTACCCTCCTTTCTCAAAAGTGGAAGAGAAAAAGGATTAAAGAACTTTTCTTACATCAGCTTTGCGTTGGCAGCATATTTTTCTAACAAGTTAGTGCCGCAGGGTCGTATTTTATAGTGTCCCAGTTCATCTGTTGCTAATTTTGTTCTTTGGAGATTTTGTTTTTTGCCGTACTTGTTGCCTATGAAACGCATCTCTTGTGCAATAATCTGTTGATGGGAGATTTACTTGTTCCATCTACCAACGGGTTCGTGGTGCTAATTGCAGAGTGCTCCACTGCCCATTTTAGAGTCTCATGAACTCTCTGCCATAACCTTGGAGTACCGGAGGGAATGCGGGAGGGACAGCGTGCTGCAATCCCTGACTGCTCTTTCTGGCAACTGCGTCGATGACCTTGAAAACTCTGCTGAAGTCGAGTGCCGGCACTTGCTTCGGCTTGAAAGTGGGGCTGAAATTGTGAGGGCCAGGACTGAGTGGAGGCCGAAACCTGCCAATAACCCAGAAACGGCGGGTGAAGTTTCGGCAGAAAGCGCTTGATGTCTGGTTCGAGGTCTCCTGAGCTTGCCAGTAGTTCGCTGCCTATATTTCCCGTGTAGAAATTCTTGCTCTTGCTCGTGCTCGTGCTCATGCTTGTGTCTCCAGATCTATTTCTTTCTTCTTTATATATATATATATGTCCTGATTTGTCTTCTGGAGGGAAGGAAGATAAGATTGAACAATATTGTAATCCCCCCCTGTAATTAGCTTTGCTCGGCCTCCATATGTTTGTTCTGCTCTCTCAACCTTCATGCAAGCTCCTTGAAACATTTGCGTCAATATGCCGGGGTAGTAAATCCGATTCCCGATACGTCCTTGTCGCCATTTTCTTGGTTGGGCAAGCCAGATATGTGCTTATCTTGCTGTGTGAATGGAAGAAGAACCACTCTTGTTTGTGATCCTAGACTGAAGTGTGATGGAGTTACAGCTCGATGGGCTTAGAATGGTGGCTTTGACATTCTCAGGTGGGTCTTACTCTAAGCGATGAGATCCTCCAGACAGTGTGTGTTTAGGTGCGTGCTTGCATTGATATTTTCTGCAAAGGACAGTTATTATTCGATTCCCTCGTAGTAGGGACAAATACACACGAAATTCGCCAACTTTACAGCCAAATGCTGCCTCGAATAATTCTGACACATCCTCTGGTTTGTGCTTAATTGAGATGACCGCAATAGATTATGGAAAAATAGCACAAATGGTTTCTGAATTTTGGCACATTGTAGAATGTATTGTGGTCCTTGAACTATGACCCAATGTGCAATGTGTTGTGCTCCCTGAATTTTTAAAATATGTAATGTGATATTTGGACTTTTAGCACATGTTCAATTTAGTGCTTGAATTATATGAAATTATTCAATTTTGCCTATGAACTGGAAGGACAATATTGAACATTTTCATATAGTTTAGGGACTCAGTTGAATATGTATAAAAAATCCAGGGATTATATTGAAGAAATCAAAAATTTAGGGATTACATTGAACAAATTAAAAATTCAAGGATCACATTTCACATTCAACGGAATTTCATGGACCATTTGTATCATAATCCCATTGATCATTTAAGCTATCTGGCCGAGCCTTTCGGCGATTGTCGGCAAAGTTACCCGGTCAAATTCACGTAAATTGACAGTTGTCGTCGAACGTCGACCAGCGGACCGGGTCCATATCCATTGCTCAATTAGATTGGACACATTTATCTCAGGAGCAAATCAATCAAAGTCAAGGATTCTTTTTGGGGGGATGAATAAAGTAATCTACATCTCAGATGCACGCACTTTATCTAAACCGGCTTAAGCGGGAAAAAGTTTCTCAGAAAGAACACTCGTATAGAAATGCAATCAGTTCATGCACGCACATGGACATTCACACCTCCCATCACGAGTTTATGATTATTAAATTAAAGCTCCGTTTGTTTCGCAAAAATAAATAATTTTAAATTTTTTTTCTTAAAAATGATCATTTATATCATCTATCAAAATGAATGAATAAAAGATATTTTCGTTATTCGCAAAAATGTGTAGACATAATTATCGTCGATAATAAAAACATTTTTCATCGGCTAATTCTTTCAGGCGACGGGAACAGTTAGTTTTAAGAAAATGTTTTCCAAATCGTTTATTTTCCGCGAGACAATCGAGGTCTGATTAGGGCATCGATCTCTAGAGACTAATATTATGTCGCTCGTTTAAGATATAAGTACACCCATTTCGAAGATAGATGCCAAAGTACTGCAAAAAAACAAATTTGTAAGATAATGTACATTTGAAGTAATCTATGGTCGCCAGAAATGCTGCCTGTTTCACATAAAACCCCCTTCAAAGTACCTCTCTCCGAGGCGAATGCGTAAACTAGATTCTTACTTCCAAAGCGTAGCCGAATTCTCCGTGTTTAAGCATACGGGTTTTGAAGACCAGTGAGCGCTTTCATACGACTGCCTGAATCAAATAGGGGGCACATTTTCCCAATCCGACTTCTCTTTTCTTTCGAAATTTTCCTCCTCCTTGACTTTTGGCTAACGAAAATGTGTACTTTCATTTCGATGTTCCGTGCTTTAGTTTTTAAAGTTGTGGGGCTATGTTCGGTCACCTAAAAGTTGGATAACATGAGGCTATCACGTCTCTTTATTCGTCGATGATGGGACTCGGGCCAATACATGAATGAATAGGTGCAACGCATAAGAAATGTTTGCCATATAAAACTGGACAGGAAAAGATTGTTACCAGAGAAAATTCAAAAAACACGTACCTAAGTTTTCATGCATCGACTATTTGCATATATCTATTGTTTAAAATACATGTCTCGTGCCTCCGGACAAAAACCCAAATTGAAAAGACCAAATTGCGCTCTCCTCGAGAAAAACCTCAGGCCCTCAGATCTCCTCATAAACCCTCGTCTCTCTCCTCTGCCAAGCGCCACCGTTAGCCTCCATGTCTGCCGCGTCGAGCTGCCTTCGCCACTACCCCCACCTCGATGGCCCCCGGCCACCCATCATCTCGCCGCCGCCACGCCTATAAAAAAAGGTCAGGGCCTGTGGCGAGGCTGTCGTGGTTGTCCAGGGCTTTCATGACCTTGAGGTCATGGGGCCACAGCGATCCGAGGTGATTAGAAATGGCAATTTGCCCATGTACATAACATAGTTTCATATGCTTGAAGTTAACTTTTATAAGGTGTCAATAAGTGCAATTTGCGACAATTTTCAATCAGCCATGACATGACATGACATGAAATCTTGATCCTAACATATAATTGGCAATTTGATCAAACTGATGGCAAATCATCAAATTTTTGTTATATTTAATCTTTCGAGTGTTGAAATTGAGTCAACGCACTCAACATGATTAATTAGATAAGCATTGCAATTTATCTTTGGTAACTTAAAATTGAGGAATATATCATGTTAAATTGGGTTAATACCACAAAAAACCCTAAACTGGTACACCTGTGATAGATTTACCTCAAACTATTTTTTTGACCACAAAAAACCCCAAACTGGTACACTTGTGACAATTTTACCCCGAACTATTTTTTTTACCATAAAAAATCCCAAACTGGTACACCTGTGACAATTTTACCCCGAACTAATTTTTTAATATTATTTTTTTATTTTTTCGAATTTTTTTTTATTTTTTCTTTTCTTTTCTTTTTCCTTTCCTTTTTTTATTCCTTCATCTTCTCTACCTTCAACCTATGGCTGGTCGCCGGTTCGGAAACCGGCCAGAGGCAAGGGCCAGTGAGGTCGGCCCCGCCGGCCGCTTGTGAGGTTGAGCCTCGCCAGCGACGGCGAGGACGACCCCTCGCCGGCAACTGGCGAGGTCGAACCTCGCCAGGGGGGCGCAAGGCCGACCTCGCTCGTTGCCGGCGAGGTCGGTCTCGCCCAGCAATGGCGAGGTCGGCCTCGCCAGCGGCCGGCGGGGCCGACCTCGTCGGCCATAGGTTAAAGGTAGAGAAGATGAAGGAAAAAAAAAGAAAAGGAAAGGAAAAAGAAAAGAAAGGAAAAAATAAAAAAAATTCGAAAAAATACAAAATAATATTAAAAAATTAGTTTGGGGTAAAATTATCGCAGGTGTACCAGTTTGGGGTTTTTGGTGGTCAAAAAAATAGTTCGGGGTAAAATTGTCACAAGTGTACCAGTTTAGGGTTTTTTGTGGTTAAAAAAATAGTTTGGAGTAAATCTGTCACAGATGTACCAGTTTAGGGTTTTTCGTGGTATTAACCCTAAATTTAACGACGTAAATTAAAGCATCTTATTGGTATATAGACGCATGTCATAAGATCTAGCATTTCTACATTCTACTTGTATATTATGTAAACTCACTTAATTTTTTTTTCCAAATCCTCCATCTTTAGATTTGATTAATTTAATCTACAGATGTGATATCCTTAGATTAACTCACTAAGGTATTGTCCGCTTTGACCCATCCTATACTGAATCTCACGGTTTTGCCATTTGGCGTACAGGTGAATACTTTCCAAGGAGATCACCCATCCCAATAGTGCTCTCATATGAGTACGCTACACTTTGGAGCGTCAAAAGACGTCTTCGTGAGTTAATTTTATTTTTCACATGTATATCCTAAAATCGTTCTTCCCATATTCGATGTACAATCTTGTTTATTCTTGCCCATTTCACCATCCTATAACCTTGTTAAGGGCCCTTCCTTATCGAGGTCCTCTGGCCTCGGCGATCACTTTTTACCTTTGTCGGACCGAGTCGTTACAACAGTAGTATGATTCGATCGTAAATTAAAAATCCCCGTGGCACTATTACCACCAAATCCCAGCTAGTTTCTAGCGATCTCGCGTAGATTGTAGGCGGGAAAAAAGCTGCGTGCCGTTCCCGGTTTTGCAGTTTGGGAGTCGAGGGGTTTGACTCTGGTTGATTGGAAAGTTTGGAATGGAAAAGGGAAAATGGAGAAAAGGATTTGATTTGAAATATACGGAAGTAGAATTGAGATTGGATTTCTTTTTTCTACTAAGACAATTGAATTATTAATTTTTTTGAAAAATATTTAGTTAGGCCATTTTTATCAATATCATTGATTAAATTTGATGAATATCTCACGTGACACTATCAACGTATAGTAATGTTCCGAGACTTTTAGTGCAAGAAGTTACATTGGACATTTATTAAATTATTGTTATGGTATAAACTGGAAGTCACCCCGTTCAAATTCCAATAGCTGCTTGGAAACTATTCTAGCTCAAGGCTACATAAAGACAGGCCAAATACCTGAATTTGACCGTATCATGACCTTCTCAAAGTATTCCATGGGTCTCTTGGTAGTTTGTCTCTCCACTCGTGTCCTAGGTTATGAAAAGAAAAAATGTTGTGACTTAAATGCATAGATAAAATATTTTAGGACTTAATTGTATTTCAATCATAAGTTTAAGATTTTTGTAACGTTTCATTCTTAAAAATATTGACAATAATTTTGCGATCACTTTAAATATTAATGCATTAAACTTTGAATGGGAATTCGAATAATCAAATTTTTAACCATCATATCGTGCAAATGATCTTTTCATTGGACTTATGCTTCTTCTTTTTGGTTAGTACCACTAGAATTCCAAAATTAGTACATCTGACATACATTTACCTCGAAAAAAAAATTTCGTATCACAAAAATACCAAACTCATAATCCCATGACACATTTACCTCAAAACTACTTTTTGGTCATAAAAGATCCTAAACTTGTACACCCATATGACAAGCGACTCGTATGAAGTGAATCAAACGTGGAAATTCATCATTAATGGCTATTAGAAACTACGCCATCTCAGAAATTCGTGCTCACCCTTTGGATCCCAATCCAGGGATAAAGAGAAGATCTTGGAAAGAGTCACGAAACTTTGGCCATCTCAGAGCGAGCATTCAAATTGTTGGCAACGTACCTCTTTGCAAGTTATGCCGTGAAAAATGCCAAGTCCAAAGGACGTATGAAACATAGCACATTCTCACTCGCCTTATCTTCATTGAGCACCCTTGATGGCCACGGACAGTCACTCCTCTCCATTTTTGCCATCTCTAGCGGCTTTCCTTCCAAATAAGAGCTCCCTCGCGTTTCAGAAATCTACCGAAATCCCTAATTTAATATTAAGATTTTGGCAAGAAAGAGAAAGTGCAGATTCAATTTTGCCTTAATTCCCAATCTCAGTTCATTTCTTTTTAGATCTGGTTTCCTTGCGACGAAGTCGTTTTGAAGAGCCATGTACTGAATTTCCACGTTGGATCCACGTCAGATGAGTCGCTTGCCATGTGCATTTCCTCGTCGTTAATTAAAAAGAGTTACGGAGCGGAAGTTATCAAATGGTAGATTTGTTAATGGTATACCAGTTTACAAATTCTTGGGACATCCAAAATTAGTGCCGGGTAAATGTGTTGCGATATACTAATTCGAGATTTTTATCGGTATTATCACTTTTTTTTATTCGTGAGAGATGTCAATGATACTCAAATCTTTTATTAAAACGCGTGTGCAACTATTAGTGCACAAATTCCTAGTAAAGTACTTTATGGGAGCAATACTAGCAGCCTAGCACACAGAATTTATTAGTGAAAATTCTCTGAGCATATTTCAAAGCTGCTGTTTTCATACAAAAGTCATCTTCGTGAAGACAGACGAAGGTGACACTCTGCCGACAGCCAGGCAATTGTCATGCGCTCTGTCGCACCCTCTCGACTCTACTCCTCCTCTAGAATGCACCGATTAAGTTCTATAAAAATATGTCGTCCTCCAATCTAATCGTTGAAGTCAATGTCCAAACGGTGACACACACGTAAGAGAAATTCTAAGGGTTTTCACTAGCAAAAGATCGAAAAGTAGTCCCACAATCATGGTCGGCAGACTCGACACTTCTTGGGTCACGAGAAGGGTTACACGACTCTCATCTTGTCCGGTCGTGCTCCGGGCGGTTTTTGATTTCTTTACACACCCCTAATCGGCACTTGATGGGACGTGAGAGGGGTTACACGACCCTCACCTTTAGCCGGGAGATGGTTGATGTGACGCTCTTTAGCGAAGGCGGGGCAAGGTTATTAACCTTGAAATGAGATTTTGATATTTGATCACATATCCTCTCGACTCCCGAGTTAAGATGTAATTACTAATTAGATAAAAGTCCAGTTACTCTTCAGTTGACTAAAACGTCACTAAACTTTTTAAGAAGGATACCACAATGAAACTTAACCCCTCTCTCTCCCCACCTCCACCATGACCAAGCTCACCCACCTCATCTTCGTGCCATGCCGTGATCGCCCCTTCCGCCGATGTCTTACAACACCCATTGCCGAGAGAGAGAGAGAGAGAGAGAGAGAGAGAGAGAGAGAGAGAGAGAGAGAGAGAGGCGGTGGTGTGGCCTGATGCGGAGGCTTGTGACGGCGGCGGATGATGGCAATGAAAGAGTAGTGGGAACGGGAAGGAGAAAGGCTCGATGAAGAAGAAATATAAGAAAGAAGACAGGAAAAGAAAGGGGAGAAAAGAAGCAAAGCCATCCAAAATTCATTTTCGATACTATATCAACGTCTTAATGGAGTAAAAATTGACATGTCTTTCCAGCTCTTTCGTGTTCATATTCTCTATAATTTGTTATTTCGATCGCCTTTTCACACGCACAATACCCATCGTGAAATCTCGAGCTGACAACACATATTCGCATGTCATATTCAAGTTTTTTAACAGTAATCAAGTCGTGTATTTCGAAAACATTAACCATGCTCAAAGTTTTTATATACCTTAAATTCGCATCAATTCATGTCCCTTTCGAATTCGTCCAATCTCGGCCTGGGGAGAGTCTGCATTTTCTGGTACTAACCCCTTTGCTTATAGCTCAAGTTTGACTGCGGGAACACCACCGTGCTCAATATTCTACGAATTCACCACATTTTTCCAAATCCCAAACCCACGAGTTTCATCGTAGTTTTAGAAAGCAATAATGGACCCAAAGGTTGCCTGACGAAACAGTGCAAAAGATTCTAGTGAAAAACAAGGAAATTCAGGGTTCCATGAACCGACATATCTGACAGCTCCACTTCAAACGTTGTTTCCTTCCTACTTCACAGTGAATTCACCTACATGGACGCATACCGACCCCTTCTTTCCCACCCCCACGTGGTCACAACCCATTTGATCCGTACAATACTCCCTGTATATATGTGTGTGTGTTGAATTGCAGCACAGCACAAATTCACGTGTGAAGAAGCAGTGGATGATTTGCGCACTCAACAGGAAATGCTATCATCGACGGAAGCAGCCGACGGGTCGTCCGGTTCCGATGTTACTTGCATGGACACGGAGCTGACCTTGGGGTTGCCCAGGGACGGTGGTTCGAAGGTGGCAATCGCCGGGGCGAAGAGGGCGTACGCCGGAACCGTTGGTCTTGGCCTCAGAAGCAGCATCGGCAAGCGAAGTGGGGATATCGAGGTCGATGCAGCTGAGAGCTGTGCAGCCTCTCAGGTGTCTGGCGCAGGAAAAGTCCCGGGATCCAAGTAAGACTCGAACTGTATTGACTTGTTGCAAGGGATCCTAATGTTTTCAAGAAGATTTTGTATGCAAAATGATGTGATAGATGTGCGAGGTATCGTTTCATTTCACGTGATGTCTTGGTAACACTTTCAAAGTAATAGGGTGCGTTAATCCAAAGATTAAAGCCAACTATTCATATCGAGACTAGTTTATAAAATTGGTGTACTAACACAACGTAGTACTCTGCGGGCCATTCTCAACATCCGATAGGAATTTACTATATCGCTTGAGCACCAATTTGATGAATTAGTATTCGTATTCTCGGGGCATCGAACATCTTCTCTACTTGCCCAGACGAAAACTTGATCGGGTTTTGTACAACCTCTCTGTCCTAGTGTGCATACAACGCACCACCTAACCAAGAGTAAATGATGAACAAAATCAAATAGAAGACTCGGTATTCTTCCGGAGTTTGATTAGTTGACTCTAACACTGTCAAGTTTCTGTATAAACTTTATGAGTTTCGATAAATTGACTCTGTCAATCTGCAATTTATGTGAAGGGCACAAGTTGTGGGGTGGCCACCGGTGAGATCATTCAGGAAGAAGACACTGGAGATCTGCAAATACGTGAAGGTTGCAGTGGACGGAGCTCCATATCTGCGCAAAGTCGACCTTCAGACATACAACAGCTATGATGAGCTCTTGAGGGCATTAGAGGGTATGTTCGATTGCTTCACTGCCAACGGTAAGCGTACGTCTATGCTTTAAGTCGGTCATGCTAGTTTTGATGCGTTCATGCACTCACGGTGTCGTGGGATCGTCGTTTAGGCAATTATTTGGAAGATAGCAAGGTCATGGATTCGGCCAAGGGAATGGAGTATGTGCCGACGTACGAGGACAACGACGGTGATTGGATGCTAGTCGGCGACGTTCCTTGGAAGTAATGACCATTGTGATTTTCGGTGCATACTTAAGTTTGCAGGGCGTCGCTTGTATAGATTCATTAGGTGCTTCCAGAATCATGCGCTTCAGGTTAGAACTTCAGATTACATCGATAATCCCATCTTGAAAAGAACCTTAGGGCGCAAGACGACTGTTTTTGTAGCTGGATAGGGCTCCGCAATGAAGAATTTGCAGTAGAAAGTGCAGATTTGCTCTCATTTTGCTTCAACCCTGTTTGAAAAACCAGCCGGCTAGTGTTCTTTCTTTAGCCTACTTGCCGATAATTAGAAAGTTCTTCGTTTTGATTAAGACTAACTTTTGCTGTATCGATGGTAAAATTGCAGAATGTTCGCAGAGTCGTGTAAGCGCATTCGGTTGATGAAGGGCTCGGATGCAGCCTGGTTCGGTACATAATTTTCCTCTCCCAACTTATTTGTTGATCCGGGTATTCAAGACTATTTTGGACGACGGTACAATAATCGAGATTCACGCTTGTGCAGCTCCAAGGACTCCAAAATGCAGGGGCTGAGTGGGTACTGGAAATGGGAAGATTCTGGTCCTCTAATAGTCTTTTAGTTTAGCTACCAGTCTGTAATATGTGAAGCCGTACACCCTTCCTTCATTTATTGAGTAAAAACATGAAGTAAATCAGAGTTCTAATTTCTTCTAACAAGCATTTGCTCAATTTGGCAGGTCGGAAAAGCACCATCTTTTCGACCTTTCCGCTGGATAAAACATGAGTTTTCCACGGTAACGCTGAAACTTTCTTCTATGTGCTATGGCTTAAGCAGTGATTGCACATGATTGAAGAAAGAAAGAATCGATGATCATGAATCATGAGATCAATAGATACAATAACGATTTACTCGAAGTTGCTTCACACTCCACCATATCAGCACGAAAGACCAATTGGTGACCTTTACGAGGCACCTGCACTGAAATTAATCCGGTTAAGGACACAGACCATCACTGCGACAACTAGGGGTGTAAAAAATACCTGACCCGAATCGAAAATTTTGGGTGTTCTATCGGTTCGGATAATAGGTTCAAAACGGGCATCTTAACGGTTTCGTTTCGGTTCAGATTGGGTAGCCAAAGTGAACTGAAACACATCCAAGTTCAAACCATACTCCCAAAGATCGTGAATCCTCCTACCTGCACCAAAAGTACTCTCAATCATGGTTCCCCGTTTTGACAGGTATTCATTTGATTTTTCCCCTGAAGCAACGCTTCTCCTATTTCGCCAGAAAATACATCCCAATACAATCCACTTTCGGATCGGATCTCAGTTCGATTCATAACAAGAGCACATCCTTTATGGTTCGGTTTGGTTCGGTTCAGGTATCATGGAAACCCAAACCTAATCCGTTGACACCCCGTGACGACAAAATCAAAAGCTACTCTCTACCCAGCTATACAAGGCAACAAGTACTCTCTTCGAGATCGATGGACTTAAACTAACAGCAAAACTGTGCTTGCATTCCGCGCATTAAATGCAAATGTTGTATTGGGTTCAGGGTTGAAAATGTTATCCGACGAACGAGCTCATTCCATGACACGGTTCTAATGAATCCCGATTTGCCCAGCCAATTTGCAAAACGCCAAACCTACGGCTACTATGACAATCAAAAGGCAAGGATTTTAATTGTAGAACTCATCTGTCTTCCTTCCTCCAACAAACTTAACTAGTTGCCTCCCATTCATTACCCTTTCAACTCTCAGCATCAGTCTCTACACAACTGCATCCAACATCTACTCATCCTTGCTTGCGAAAAAAGTCAGCGATTGGAACGGAATTGTATCGACATCAACAATAACGTTGAATGACTAATCTTCCCTCAATTGCAGACAGGTTTGCCTCACTAGGTTAGCCTCACTCACTGGCATCACAACCACTGCAATACAAAGGGAAGAGACAATCAATTTAATTGAAATATTCAAAGAAATTTCCATTACGAAAATGATCTACAACTCATCTTAATTAATGACAGTACACTAAAAACTTAAATAGAGTTAAGTAGAGTCAAAGTCGGTGAGAGGACACTGCTCGAAAGCGAATTTGACCTAAAAATAATTCATCGCTTGCGTATGTTATGCCACCGTACCATCATTCAGTACCCAGCATTGGTAATTTTATTCATATGTTCTCTGATTATTGGACACATGTATTGTGAGGTATAGCCATGGTTAGTGACTTCTACAAGCGCCTTATCTCAAGGGTCAGTAGCCTATTTCTATTCCATTTATCTCATGCATTTCTTAGTTCAGCTGTGCTTATTTCAGTAGAAAGAGAGATAAAGAAACCCTTCCTGCAATAATGACAAAGTTTCTTCCGCGAGTAAGTAAACATGACGCTGGCAGGATTCAGTAAGAGGCCACTACTATAAGAAACCAAACCATTGTACAAGGCCGTTATCTCTGTCTCAGAATATTCACAGAAAAAAATCCCAGTGATGGTTGCAGCACTTCCAAGCATCTGCACGCAGACAAAAGAAATTCTAGAACTTTGCCATCTAAAGCTTGAATATATCACCAATTAGTTATACGGACAGTAAAAATATACCTGAAATGAAGTTGTGAACATCAAACCCATGAAAGATGAGAAGGGGTAGAAAATCAACCATGTCTTCCCCTCCCGCGGGATCTTCCCCTCCCTCTTCCTCTCCCTCTACCCCTCCGTCCACCTCCATATCCCCCTGAATGAGTCCAATCATTGTCTCTGTCGTAACTGAACATGCTCCTCTTGATTTTTTCTGCTTGTGTCTCGTTAGGACCCTCTAGTACCTGAAAGGTTGAATTACTGGTGAGTCATGATGTCAAATTCTGCCAATAGAGAAAACAACACCACCTGATGAAGAAAAAATACTAACATGATGAGCATCTTCCAAGTCAAATTGATTCTGAAGCTGCCTTGCCAATTCCTCATCATGGCTCATATTTGGCAGCTTCGTAACGGCATTTCTCTGTTCCCATTCTTCTAGAGTAAAAACTGGAGCCTCTTCTTGTTTACCCTTCGCTCTATATTTTCGACCTTTAAAACGCTGATTCTGCATCCCTTGTTGGTTCATCTTTTGGAGGAGTTTCTGAGCAGCCGCTTGGTTTTGAACAGGTGCAGAATCAGCAACTGAAAACAACATCAGCTTCCAATCAATAGGAATAGAAAGTCTCACAAAAAAGAAAGGGCTAAAAATCACTTAGACATCGATAACTGCATCTACTAGTCTTCTTGGGAACTTAATCATATGGTCAGAGAATGTTCTGGTCTGCCAATTAATCTAAGCTATTTTGAGACTTCAAGAACAAGACAACAACTTCAACAATTTTCATTAATAATGTCGTGAACTCACTTTTTCAGTTCACGTATTATCTTCTGATATCATTTCATACTACTAGCCTCACTTATTTAAGTCTGCAAAACTGCACAAAGATAATTTACCACCACATCCTCTGTAGCTGATGATATTTCAAAAACTGCACTAAGATGATTTACCACCACATCCCTTCATGGCTTATGATATTTGAAAACAAAAACAATGAAGAAGAGAAAAGGATTGTGATGTTTTGAAGCAGAATGACTAGCTACATCATGCTTCCCATAGTAGTATTATTATTACCATGTGACTCTATAGAAAGCAAGCAGCCATCTATCATCTCAATATGCACCTTACACAAACATGCAATGTTACCAACTTTAAAAATTCTAACCTTCTTTTGGCCTTGACTCAGAGTGAGTTGGTTTTTCCTTATCTTCTCCTGTAGGTGGAGTGGTTTCTGAACTATTTCCCACATCTTCCTTCATTTCAAGATTCTTCTGTCCAACAACAGATCTATTTTCCAATGGCATGCGAGATTCTCTGCCTTCAAATTTCTTGACATTGGAGGTTTCAGGGTTGTCTGCAGATTTACTACTTCAAGTTAAATTTGCACAAATGTGTCTCTAATGTCCATAAAAAGAAAAGAGAAGTCCTTCAAACAGGAGCATATACGACTTTCGCAGAGAAGAAAGCAGATGACTGACGTGAATATCTCCTTTGATGAGTGGACTGACGTGAGGAAGCCCTGATCTGCAGCTTCTCAAATGGGGGAGGGCCGCCTGCATCACTCTGCTGTGATAGTTTTAAAGATTCACGGGATAAGCCAGAGTATTTTCTGTTCATTTGCCACTCGTCAAATAGAGACTGAACAACACCACCTAAGACGGCTAATGTTGTTGGAGTTAGACACAGAATCCCACTATATACTGCAACTTTCTTTTCCAGCCGCACCTGACCACAGAGCAGGCACCATAAACAACTTCAGAAATAGTTGAAGTTGATTTCTTCAACAGCACAACAAAGTAAGGAAGTGACTGGAATTTGCTTTACACAAGTTCCAAGAATAAAAATTAACAAGACTAAAAACCACTCCTGCGCAGCCGTTTATATTTCATGGTTTTAGACAAGAGGACGATTTCCTAATGCACAATTTCCAAATTAGTAGCTAAAATCAGTGGGTCTTTAGTGGATATGATCCAATAAGTTCATTAAATGCTTGTAGAGAAATATTGGATTCTACAGAAGAGCTGTACTGCATTGTCAAAAAGAGCTCCAGAAGAAGGACATTTGTCCAAACATAACACATGCGGACATGAATGTTATATTAGAATTGCAGAAACAAGAATCTCGGGTACATGCGAAGAAGGACATTTGTCCAAGAAATAACATAAGCAAACATGAAAGTCATATTAGAATTACAGAAACAGGAATCTCGGGTATGTGCAACATCTAACTTGTAACTCCCTGGGATCCCCTTCCATCCACTTGTAGAACCAACAAGCAACCAGACTCTAGAGGACTATAGATGTTTTCCAGCGCTAAAAACCCTAGAGATGGACAAGAGTAAATTTTGGAATCAATCCTTCTCCTATGTCAGTGAAAGAAAATGGCAGCAAGCCCACAAAATAATGTCCTCACACCTGGCAACGAGGAAGTTTCAATTCTGTTCAATAACTTAAGGGAGCATCTATGATAAAAAAGCCATGGCATGGGCTTTGTTGTGAACTCTCCCATCAGGTCTACCTCTGTATCTCCTATCCTGACCAAGCTATTAACTTCAAACAATTCTTCCTATTTAGAATCAACAAAATCTAGATACACACTTCACAACTACAACTGAACGCTAGGGCGAACTTCACTTCAACGAGATAATAAATTTACGGTGTCCCAATTCCTACATAAAGTCCAGCCGTGTATTATCTGAATCATTTGTACGAAATGAACTATCCAAGCCACATCAGCAACCAACCGGGAACTTACTTGTGTATGATAAACTCAATGGTATTCTCTAAGACCAAACACCAAAACGAACTAGATTCTATAAAAAATTTCCATATCTCCCGTCAGGTCTACCTCTGTATCTTCTATCCTGACCAAGCTATTAACAAACAATTCCTCCTATTTAGAATCAACAAAATCTAGATACACACTTCACAACTACAACTGAGCACCAGTGCGAACTTCACATCAACAAGATAATGAAGCTATGGTGTCCCAATTCCTACATTAAATTCAACCGTGCATTATCTGAATCATTTGTACAAAACGAACTATCCAAGCCACATGACCAACCCAACCGAAAAATTAATTATGACTAATAAACTCAATGGCATTCTCTAGGACCAAAAACCGAAACGAACTAGATTCTATAAAAAAAATTTCGATATCTCCCGTCAGCTCTACCTCTGTATCTCCTCTCCTGACCAAGCTATTAACTTCAAACAATTCTTCCTATGTAGAATAAAAAAATCTAGATACACACTTCACAACTACAACTGAAAGCCAATACGAACTTCACTTCAATGAGAAAATGAAGCTATAGGGTCCCAATTCCAACATTAAGTTCAACTGTGTATTATCTGAATCATTTTTACGAAATGAACTATCCAAGCCACATCAGCAACCAACCGAAAACTTAATTGCGAGTAATAAACTCAATGGTATTCCCTAAGACCAAAAACCGAAACAAACTAGATTCTATAAAAAATTTCCATATCTCCCATGCCGTGTATATAGCAACTTCAGGGTATCAACTACCAGAGTAAAACACATACCGGTTATAGAGAAGGCAGTTTAAAGAAGCTACGGTGTCCCAATTCCTACATTAAGTTCAACCGCGTATTGTCCGAATCATTTGAACGAAACAAACTATCCAAGCCACATCAGCAATCGACCGGAAACTTAATTGTGACTAATAAACTCAATGGTATTCTCTAAGACCAAAAACCGAAATGAACTAGATTATATAAAAAATTTCCATATCTCTCGTCAGGTCTACCTTTGTATCTCCTATCCTGAACAAGCTATTAACTTCAAACAATTCTTCCTATTTAATATCAACAAAATCTAGATACACACTTCACAACTACAACTAAACGCCAGAGCGAACTTCACTTCAACGAGATAATAAATTTACGGTGTCCCAATTTCTACATAAAGTCCAACTGTGTATTATCCGAATCATTTGTATGAAACGAACTATCCAAGCCACATCAGTAACCAACCGGAAACTTAATTGCGACTAATAAACTCAATGGTATTCTCTAAGACCAAAAACTGAAACGAACTAGATTCTATAAAATTTTTCCATATCTCCCACGCCGCGGATATAGCAAATTCAGGGTATCAACTACCAGAGTAAAACACATACCGGTTATAGAGAAGGCAATTTAAAGAATACCTTAGTGCCAGGAACAACATCATCAGGAAGCGCCGGGATATGAGAATACTCCACCGCAGTCATCTCACTGTGACCGTCCGTCAGTGTCAATCTCAACATACGATTACCACCAGAGCTCTTCGAGGCCTCCTCAATACTACTTCTGGCAATGTCCCTCACTGCAGATATCTGTTCGAATGCCACAACAGCGATCACAACCCTAAGCATAGCGAGCGCGAAACCCAAAGTAAAAAAACAACCTCGCACCACGCAGAACGGGAGCGATCAAAACCCGGATAAAACCTAAGAGGAAGGAGCGAACGTCGGGCTTCACCTGGAGGACCATAGGGCCGTGGAGGTGCGATGCCTTGCGGTCGGGCAGGGTCCTGGATCCGATGATCCTCAGGTCGGTGTTGAGAAGGTCCGATTCGACGGCGTCGGCCAGGGCGGCCGCGTCGGAGGGGTCGTCGATCAGGGCGCGCTGGATCATGATGACCGCCCTGATGTGGGCCGCGTTGTCGAAGGACCATCCTCGCTTCAGGAGCGTCTCTAGCAGCGCAGCCTCTGAAGAAGAAGAAGAAGAAAACAACGACGACGACGACGACGACGGCTGGTGCGGCGGCGGCGGCGACGGCTGCTGCTGCGGCGGCGGCGGCGGCTGCTGCGGCGGCGGCGACGACGGCTGCTGCGGCGGCGGCGACGACGGCTGCTGCGGCGGCGGCGGCAGCGGCGACGGAGCAGGAGGAGGAGGAGGAGGAGCGGAGTACGAGCTCGTTTCCATGTCGAGAGAATCCTCTGCAAAAGCAAAAGCTCCGCGACCGAGTTTTGTGGTGCGCTGGGCGGGCCTGGGCGGCTTCAGGCGAAAATGCTTTTCCCAGGCCCGCCCACGATTTAGGAAAGATTGGATTCTCTACGGAAAAATTACCGATACGGTCTTAAACCTATTGTAATTGTGCCAATTCAATTTTAAACATTTTATATTTATAATAATTCAGTCCATCCGTCCAATTTTGACATACCGACGCTGATGTGGACGTTGGCCGTCCGGCCAAAGCTGACGTGGCATTTTTAAAAATTTTAATATTTTTAATTATTTAATTAATTATTATTTTTTCTTTTTCCTTTTCTTTCCCTTTCTTTTTTTTTAACCTCCCTTCAACTTCAACCTTTGGCTGCGCGAGGTCGGCCCCATCGACCACTAGCGAGAGTGAGCCTCGCTCGCCTCTAGTGAGGCTTGACCTCGCCGTCGCTAGGGGAGGTTCGAACTTGCTGGCAACAGGCGAGGTCGGCCTTGCCCAGCCACTATCGACCTCGGCGGTGACGGTAAGGACGAGCCTCGCCATGGCTGGGTGATGCTTGACCTTGCCAGATCTAGTGAGGCTTGAACTCGCCAGCCACTACCTCGCTTAGCGACAGCAAGGCTGACCTCACCTGTGACCGGCGGGGCTGACCTCCCCAGCCCTGCCTCTGGCCGGATGCCGATTCCAACGATCGGCTAGAAGTTGAAGATGAAAGGAGGGAAAAAAAAGAAAGGGAAAAAGAAAAGAAAAAATAAAAAAATTCGAAAAAATATTTTTAAAATGCCACGTTAGAATTGGCTGGACAGCCGGCGCTAGCCAGTGCTCACGTCAGCGTCAGCCGGCCAAAATTGATAAGATGGACTGAATTATCACAAATACAAAAATGTTTAAGACTGAATTGGCATAAAAAAAAAGGTTTATGACTGAATTGGTACAATTATAATATTTTTATAACTGTTTTGGTAATTTTCCCGATTCTCTACCCAAAATAATAGGGTGAATTACTAAAAAAGTCTCAAACCTCATTTAGTCATAATCTTTTTTTTTTGTCAATTGAGTCTTGAACTTTTTGTATTTGTGTCAATTCAATCCATTCGGTCAATTTTGACATGAAATCACTGACATGGACGCCAACCGTCTTAGGTGGCATGGCTGGTACTGACGTGAACAATTTTTAATAATATTTTTCTAATTTTTTATTTTATTTTTCCTTTTTGGTCTTTTCTTTCTCTTTTTTTTCTTCCCTTCTTTCTCTAGCAGGTCATAAAAAATATTAAAATATTATTAAAATTATCTATATCAGTGCCGGCTATGCCACATAGGATAGCTGGCGTCACGTAAGACGGTTAGCATTCATGTAATTTATTTTCGGCCAAAATTGACCGAATGGACTAAATTTGCATAAATGCAAAATATTTAGAACTCAATTAGCAAAAAAAAAAGATTTAGGACTAAATTAGCATGATTGCAATAGGTTTAAGATTTTTTTGATAAATTTTCCTAAAATATTCAGCTTTGGACTATGCCTAATTTGAACAAGCCCGGCTCATCCAAACCCACTCGGTCTAGTTGTTTGGGCCTAATGGGCTTAGGTGGGTCCGCCAAACTGCTAGGCTCATGATCGTGTCTAAATGAAGGGGCGAATTTGTGCGGGATGGGGCGAGTCCCCTTTTCCAAATTGAGAGAGAGAGAGAGAGAGAGAGAGAGAGAGAGAGAGAGAGAGAGAGAGAGAGAGAGAGAGAGAGAGAGAGAGAGAGAGAGAGAGAGAGAGCATGTTGTTATGCATATTGTACTTTAGGTGATGGTTGTTACCCATTCAAAGCTTCCACTTTGTAAGGTCATGGAAGAGATCTTAAGAAAATAATCTTAATTTATGTCGTAGTCTTAAGAAAATTAAGAGTTAATATCACATCTTAAAATTGCTAATATTTTCATTTTAGAAAATAAGAATGTTGTTAAAAGATTGGTTTCAAATATTTTACAACATATTGATCTCCATTATTAAAAGACTCATTTCAAATTAATGAGCTTACATATAATTTTTTTTTACGAATTTATGGACATTCCTAATTATTTATAAAGACACGCAATCACGATAAGCGTTATAGCCATAGTTAATAATTATCGTATATTTCTGCATCCGTGGTATAAAATGGACCCCTAAATAAATTTATTATTTAAATGCTAATTTTTTTTAAAGTGACTCAAAATTGAGTGGAAGTGAAGAATGTGAAACCTCTTGAAATATTGGCAACAAAATATCATCAAACAAGATGAGTTGCTACTTAACTCCCATCATATCATGTGCATTAACATATCTCTAAAAAAAACAGAAATTAAGATATGATTTTTGCTTATTTCACGATACGTCGCGCATTGCACGAGTTCAATCCTAGCGCAATACATACTACGACATGTTTCGTATTAATGGTGCTGTATATTCTAACCTTAGATTGCATAACATGAAGTTCCACATGACTAGTCCATTTAAATTATACATTTGAGGGACATGCACTCATGTCATGCGCGCTTATTAGGCCTATATAACATGTATGCCGACACATGGAATACGGTAATCGCGTGCTTAATTGTGATAATACATACATTACATCGATAATCTTATACAGATTTATTACGTATATTTAGATCCGGTTTTCTACCTTTAAAAGGAAATGCCACATTCGTAACACAATAATAAACAATTCGAAAATGCCCACGAAGGCCAATATCATATTGAAGTCAATCAAGGAGGCAATTAATGATCCTAGCCTCTAGGAGTATAGTTTAATCAAGTTGTTGGCTGGCTAAGCCATAAATGCGTAACGTGGTCAACTATACAATCCAGTCTGCTTTACGTTATATTTAGCTGTCACGGATAAAGTATTGAGATCGGCAAAATTATTATCGAAGAAAAGCTTGTTCCTGTAAATTAAATCGTTGTTAATCAGTCAATTGGCACGTTGGATAACTTTGAGCGTCGTCATCTTTGAAGAATCACACTTTTGGAACCAATTGGCAATGACAGTGACCTAACAAAACTTTACATAGTATTATAGTAGTATGTCATTATCTCAAATCTTTCAAAGCCGCTTATTCGCCTTTTCAAGTATATTTCTGCTCTTTAGTCTAAGACTAATAACCAGAATATTGAAATATTAAACCACGCTTTAATTTCAGAGTTGTTACCGATAATTGAATCCGTGGCCTCCTTTTTCTCAAGACACAAGTTGTTAGTCTTCATACTTATTCAAATCGATACATATTGGCGTCGTGATTAATCCCCTCAAATATAATTAATGTGCTTCATCGATACGTCGGGTACCCAATTTTGCGAGCTGGGCTTAGTGACAAAATTAACATTTAGGAGAAGTCGACACTTCTCTTTGAGAAATTTATTCAAGAAAGATAGCATACATTTGTTTGAAACTTCTATAAAACCCTAAGAAATGAGCTAGCAAGCAATATCTACTGATTCAAGACGCAGCAAGCTACTGCTCTGTGTTATGTGATTTCTCACTCTGGGAGAGACATGATGACCAACTTATTTATCATCTTTGCTTGCAAAGAAAAAAAAATGGATAAGTGTACTGAAAGTTCTTATACTTATCACGAAAGTGCAATCGAGTCCCAATACTTTTAAAAAGTGCAATCAACGGAAGGACTTGATTGGACCAATTATACAAGTTTTAGGACTTGATTACACGTTCGTGATAAGTTTTTGAACTTAATTGTACTTTTTAAAAGTACTCAATTGTAGTGTCATGATAAATTTTAAGGCTTCCAATATACTTGTCTCAAAAGAAAATATGAAGCTCATCTGCTTCCCAACCACTCTTTCTTGTCTTGCGCGCCTATACTTACGCATTCACATCATGCAACAGGATAGCTCTTGTCAACAGACTATACTATTGTTGTAATGCAGACATTTAATGTATCAGCAACATGCCCAGTCATGCATTAATTTATAAGCGCTCTTCAGGGAAGCTTCATGCATGTTCGTTGCATATTTGCACTTTAAGTCATAGTAAGGCCCTTTAAATACGGCAGAAACTAAGAAACTGGAGAAAACGATCATAGGATAATCAAAGTCTCATAAGAAAAACAAAGTCTTCGCATGGGTTCGGATTCAGTGCTCAAGCTTCCCTCGATAGATTTTTCCGGATTGGGTGATTCGGAGCCGGGAAGCCATGGTTGGAATTCTGTCCAAAACGCCGTCCGGGGAGCGCTTGAAGAGTACGGGTGCTTCGAGGCTTTGTATGACAAGGTCACTGTGGAGCTTCATGACGAGGTCTTCAATGAAATGGAGGAGATGTACAATCTTCCGGCCGAGACCAAGCGCCGGTTTGTCGACCCGACGAAACTGTACGATGGCTACCTTGCTGATCTCCCACTTTACCCTCTTTCAGAGGCCATGGGAATGCATGACGCCCTGAACTCGGGTGCGATCGAACGATTAGCCGATCTCCTGTGGCCGGAGGGAAATACCAAATTCTGGTATGTACGGCGCAAATTACATTCCCAACTTCCATTTACCACGGTTGAGTCAATTATGCTCTGAGAAAATGTTCATCATGAAAAACTTCAATTACAAAACTGACAAGTATGACCTTTTTAATCTTTCTTGGGTCGCCCCTCTGAATCACTTGCAGTGAGTTGCTGAATACATATTTGAGGAGGCTGTCTGAGTTAGATTATATGATCCAGAAGATGGTCTTTCGAAGCTTCGGCGTCGAGCATTATCTTGATTCACATGCCGAGTCGACAAAACATTCTCTCCGCCTTTTGAGATATGGAGCTCCGAAGACGGAGGAGGCGCAAGCCGGAGGCATAACTCATTACGACACAAGCTTCGTAACCATGCTTCAGCAAAATCATGTGAATGGATTGGAAGTGCAGACGAAGCATGGAGACTGGATTAAAGTCGCACCTTCGGCTTCCTCTACTATTGTCATGATTGGAGAGTCATTCCATGTGAGTCTCTCCCTCTCTCACGCTAATACTCTCCTTATCATATCCTACCTTTACAAAATAAGTTTAAAAATGATGGATATGCAAACAACTGATTAAATTTTTCTAAACAATTATAACATATTCTGACGGTGTGAAAGAAAATTTTACACAAGAAATTTTATATACCATTAATTCGAGAGGATCCGAAAGAGTTGATAGTTATAATCTTTAAATCAAATTTAAGGTAGCTTGTATAAGATTTCTTTTACACTGGCGGTGTGTGCGCTATTTTTCTAATTTTTATATCTATCACATGTGATATATTTTTCTTGGACCAATCAATTTGTGCTGTAGAATGTGGTGGAAACGGTACTTGTGACATAACGTTTGGTCTACTAAGTCTAACCCATGCAAGAACCACTCTTTAAGTTATTTTTATTAGCTTTCTAGTGGATATAATCAAATGAATATTGCTAGCAACACAGTAAAGATAAATTTACAAATGATCTGAAAGATTGGTATCATACGTTAAATATAGCTCACTCCTTTAATTAGCCACTCACGATTTAACAAATCATTTTATAAACTAATTTTGTGAATCAAATTTTCCTGTACCTAACATTAATTTCTTCTATAGTTAAATTTATAAGTGATTTTAGAAATTTATGACTTTCCACTAGTCACCAGGATGCTTAAAAGACTAAATAGTAAGTAATTGTAAAATTAATATCCAATAGTTAAAGCGGCATGAATAATTATCAAAATCGGGTGTTTGCAAATTGCCATTTGAAATAGATCGGAGCCTTTATTTTGGAATCTCTTGTGATTCTCATATTACAAACTCGTGTACTCTTGTTTTACCCCCCACACAATCCATATCCATCATCATTGATTTGGATAATTGGTCAAATTTTCCAAATTGGTACTGCCTAATAAATAGGGAAAAATTGTCCAAAAAATCCTAAATCTATTGTATAACAGACAATTCATATATAAACTTTTCAATTTAACAAATTCAGTCATAAATTTTTTCACGATTTGCCAATGTAGTGTTTCCAGCCAATTCTCATAGAAAATCGCCTATGTGGATAATTTTTGCAACTTTTTTTAAAATTTTATCTCTTTTTTTTGCTTTCCTTTTTCTTTTTTTTTTTTCTTTTTTCCTTGTTACTCTCTGCTTGTCTCTTGCCACAAGCAAGGGCGACCTTGCCAGTGGCCAACAACCTCCAACAGCCATTGCTGAGGCCTCTGCGACTGGCGGAGGGAAGTAGGAAAAAAAGGAAAAAGGAAAGGAAAGAAAAGGAAAGAAAAGAAAAGGAAGAAAAGGAAGAAAAGGAAAAAAATTCTAGAAAATTGAAAAAATTGCAAAAATAGTCAATGTCAGCGTTGGCTGCGCCACGTAAGACACCAAGTGTCCATGTCAGCGATTTTTTGCCAAAATTGACCGGAAAGGCTACATCGGCAAATCGTCAAAATGTTGAGAACTAAATTGGTCAAAAGAAAAAGTTTAGGACTGAATTGACCGTCATAGAATGGGTTTAGACATTTTGGACAATTATTCTCGATAAATGTGGGTTTTGTAATAAAAAGAGTACGCGCACCACATTAATTTTCATGCAATCATCTCCTTGATTAAGATATGCATGCTTAGTTGTATATATAACTTCACGTTAGCTGTGAGCTCTTTCGTGGTCTTTTCTTAGGGATGGAGCAACGGAAGATTACACTGTCCCCGACACCGTGTGATGATGAGCGGACACGAGGCCAGGCACTCCATCGGGATCTTCTCCTGCGTTGAAGGGACTATCATCCAGTGCCCCAACGAGCTCGTGGATGAGCAACACCCTTTGCTTTTCAAGCCCTTTGACACGGATGGTCTCATCCGTATCTTCGCCACACCGGAGGGACAGAATGGAGGAGCTTCAGCTCTCAAAACCTTTTATAGTGCTATTAATTGAACGTGACCTTTTTTACATCGTTCCAAGCCCTTTCAAGCTTTAATTTGATGTGTGTGATTGTTGTTTTTTCCCCTTTTGCTAACCATCCTCTCCCAATGTCATCTGGTAATAAAATTAGTAATCTAACCATCCTCTCTCAATGTCATCGGGTAATAAAATTAGTAATCATGAGATTTAATGGATGACCTATCTAGGTACATCCATGGTTAAAATTCCTTTATCCCTGAAAAATAAATTACGGCCTTTTGTCAATGTTGACACTTGAATATTTGCCGATAAGTCCAATAAAGTGAAAACTCGAGACTCGGGATCCCTTATTGCAACAAGGCCCATTTCTCGGCCAAATAGAATCATTTTAGTGTCTTTCAAGTTCCACTTGTACCCGGGAGTCATTTTCTTAAATAAGTCAAAGGTTGAATTTTTTTGTCAAATGGGAAAAGTTAACTCTTGGTAAACATTTAGTACAATTTGTGAAAATCATTAAAAAAAAATCATCAATTCTATCTTTGTAAACATAGTTAGACTTTTAATTTTCCGTTTTTACAATAAACAATTGAGAGTTGACTTTTCGGTCAAATCTAAAACTTTGACCCTTGATTGGAAAATTCCAAAATTCATTGATTTGATTCCTTTTTTTTTTGGAAATTTGATCCAGGGACCATGTCAATTTGACATTCCAAGCCCAATTTCGAAAATTCAAGCCCAAATTTGCTAGCCAATCTTCGAGTGCGAGATTAGGGCCCTGGTCAATCCTTCACAGTAGAGTTAATTAGCATAATTTAAATCCGATTAGGCCAAATTAATTCAATTTTAACATCAATTTTGGAAAAATCAGGGTAATTTGGGAAAATCAAGCGAAAATGAGGAATCAAGACCAACAGGGTCCAGCTAGGTCAACCCGGTCGAATGGCCAAGCTCATAATTAAATTTAGATAGAAATTAGACAATCGTGAGTCCTCGGGTCAACCCGGTTTGCCCAAAGTTGACTCAGCTCATTCTAATCTGCCCAATTAGCCAAACCTAGCCAGCCTAGCAATCCATTATTAAATTCGGCAAGGAGAAAATGTTGACTTTGGTATATTATGTATCCTCCAAGGAATAATCAAAGCCATCCATTTACCAATTCCATCCTAGCCACCAAGGTGCCATATCACTCATCCATGTGCTTAAATAAGAGCCATTAGGAGCTTTCTCAGCCATTAAAGGACGAATTAGAGCCCTTAGATCAAAGGATGAGGTGTAGGGTTAATATTTGCTCTTAATTTAAGTTTTCCTCCAATTTTCGCCTCTCATTTTCACTATTATTCCCCTAGGTCTGATTTCATGAATTAATTACACACTTAGCTTAGTCTCCAAGAAAATAAAAAAAAGAAATCCTCTCTCTCTCTCTCTCTCTCTCTCTCTCTCTCTCTCTCTCTCTCTCTCTCTCTCTCTCTCTCGGCCGGATTTGGATCGTCCATTTGCCGGCCGTTCTTCAACCGGACTTCAACATTGCTCCAACGATTTTTGCCTCGCCTCATCTTGCGACCAAGCTTCCCTATGTGTCCTTGAGGTGTTTGTGGCCAGCACTTTCTTCGATCGTCATTAGAGTTGCTCAATTAGGCCGATTTTCCATTGGAACTCGCCAATCATCAATTCAAGGTAGGTTTGATGATTAGGCTTAAGTAATCAATTTCAAGTGATCATTCGAGCATATTTGATCGATGATAGCTGAAAAATTGAAGTTGAGACTTCAATTTATAATAAAAAATCAAGGTAAAATGTAATGACATTGAGAAGTAATTAGTTGATAGAATAAGCTCAATTTCCGGAAAATCAAAGTCGATGCATGTTGAAGGTTTGATATCAATTTTGAATGATTATGTTTGATTTCAGTGATTAGGTAGAAATCCTTAGGAATTAAGCTTAGTTTAAATTCGATTGATCGATTGCAGGACGAATTCCTCTCAAAATTTGCATGTGGCCGAACCTCCTATAGTGTGAGTTTGATGTTCACTGAGTGTCATCTTGCTTTAGATTTGATGTATGTTAGATGAATGTTGATTAGGAGCAAATAGAATGAGTTTTTGTGTTGATTTCTTAGATTTTTAATGAGTTGTTGGAGGATTTTGATGTTCATGTGAGTTGGAATACTTGAAGGCTAGTTTGAACATCATAGGTTGAAGGAGGTTGAAGGTGGTTGAAAATATGAAGGACGTTTTAAAAAATCATAGTCTGATTTGATGTTATGGTGTTTTCGATTCTTTCAAAAAATCTAAAACAAATTAAGAAAACTTGTTTTCATAAGATGATTTGTAGTTGAAATCTGTAACTTTCTAGTGATATAAAGATTATTGAATTTGACGTTCATTTGGTCTGTCAAAAGTTCATCCAAAGTACCGAAAAAAGCTACTCTCTGATCTGTAAAAACTGTTCCCGCATCGACTAAACTTGTTTTGCAATTTAAAAATATATGGAGGTCTTTTTTTAAAAAACTTTAAAAATGAAAGTTGTTAGGGAGATCTTGAACCGCAAATTTGGGAAGTTTCATAAAATTTGAATGTGATTTAGGTGGTCAATTTAATTTAATTTGGACAAGGTTGGAATTGGCCTCTGAAATCGTTCTAGATTGAGTTTTGGGTATTACTTACAAGTTCACTAGTATTTGGAGGGCTCTTTTGCAAAAATTTAAAACATAAAAGAAGTGCATCTTAAGCTAGCCGTCCGTAATATTTGGCAACATTTTGAATTTGTTTGGTTTTTTTCCTGCATTTTACAAGAACCGGGTCAGAACATGGTTGGATCTTGAGTGGGCGGGTTAAATTGAATAAACTATATTAATTGAGCCACAATTTGGGAAATAACTTGAATGAAAATTAAAATAGACTTCCCAAGCTTTAATTAGCTGTTGGAATTACTCAATTTGGACTTCATTAGGTTAGTCATTTGGATTAAAACATAATTGGGCAGAAATAGGGAAAAACAGAGAAGTTACCCTTTTAGGCAACTAATTGATTTCTTGATTTCTAAAGCTAATTAGCCTAAGGGAAAATGACATAAACAGTCCCTAAACTTTGGCCCAATATGTAATTTGATCCTTGAACTTTTAATTCGTTCAATATAATCCCTGAACTTTAGCCTAATGTTCAATATGGTCCTCGAATTTTTAATTTGTTCAATGTAGTCCTTTCATTAATTCAAGTTTAGGGACTACATTGAACATTTTCATATAGTTCAGGGACTAAATTGAACATGTACCAAAAGTTCAAGGATCACATTGAATAAATTAAAAGTTTGGGGCCATATTGAATATTAGGCTAAAGTTCAGGGACTATATTGAACAAATTAAAAGTTCAAGGACCAAATTGCACATTGGGCCAAAGTTCGGGGATTGTTTGTGTCATTATCCCTTAGCCTAATTGTATCTTTAATTGACCTTGCCCATGATTAAATTAATGCTAATTATTAACCCCCACTGATTAGCGATGCATGAATACTTCGGTGGGTAGTTTAGGAAATGGTGATTAGAGTTTAATTAGGCGCTTTGTGACTTAGCCCACCACGTGCTGAACATTCAAGTGGGGTTAATAATTACTTAACATTAATTAATCAATCCCTAGTCCTACGAGGGGATGGGTAATCGAATCGCATGATCGATATCTTACCAAACCCAATTCGATTTTCTTGATGAATGGATGATTGGGTGAACTTGCTAACGCTTTGATGGAGTGATTACATGATTGAGCATTTGAATAAAATTGATAATGGAGACCGACAGTTGGCGACCGGACGGTTGGGGAGGCGGCGGTCCATGGTGATTGGAATTAGGTTCATTAGCTTAGCTTCGTCTTGATTAGGCTAGTTTAATTGATAGACTTAGGATTTAATAACAAAAATAGTTTAGACTTTAGTTAATATAGTCTAGCTAGAAAATCAATAAAAATAAATTAAACTTAGCATCACTCTTTTTAATAAATGGATAGCCTAGTCTATCCATGTATCATCATTCCTAATAAAATGAGTAGAATTTAGGCTCGCCCTAATCTAGCTCAATTTTTAGGGATTATGCTTAGTCTTTAATATCAAATAGTTTAGACTTTAGTTAATATAGTCTAGCTAGAAAATCAATAAAAATAAATTAAACTTAGCATCACTCTTTTTCATAAATGGATAGCCTAGTCTATCCATGTATCATCATTCCTAATAAAATGAGTAGAATTTAGGCTCGCCCTAATCTAGCTCAATTTTTAGGGATTATGCTTAGTCTTTAATATCAAGCTTATGGGGGTTCATGTCCCAAGATATATATATATATATATATATATGCTTTTTCCTTCCGACTTGGTATCGGCTCAAGCACATGAGAGTTCATGTCCCAAGGCTTAGAACAGGGCGATGTAATATTCTTTCCCTTTGCCTAACTAGTATCGGATTTTTCATTTCCGTACTTTCATTTTAAGCTTTTCAATACTTGGGTGTTTCATTCCGGCACTCTCAATAAATTGGTTGTTTCTTCTATTTTATATTGGTTAGGAAAACCCTTAGAAACGTAATAAACCCTAAATGAACAATTGTATGAACATATAGCGACATCAAATGACCTTTAGGATAATATTAGTAAAAAGTCGTTTGATCACTTAGATAAACAAATATTGAGTTATAGGTACCGAAAGGGCACTAATTAGATGACTAGCGTAATTAAGTCCCCGAACATAATTAATCTCTGGTTGCATAGAAAACCAAACAATACTCTCATGTCTTGTTTAGTTTCTAGCCGACCCGGAAAGTCTAGTGGGACTCCTAAAATTACTTAGGCAAATAAAAACTTAAAATGGAACCCAATGTCGTGCGAGATATGGGCTAAGGGGAGCCCGTGCACAATTGAGAGTTGTTGGCCCGCCTTTGCGCAATGCCTTTAAACCTCTTCCCATTTTCGATCCCAACGGAAAATTTGGGAGGGTCTCAACAGCCAACACCATTGAGTAAAAATAGACTGATTGCATGGTTCTTTGCAATTATACGTACATTACAATTATTCAAATATAAAATCACGTCTTTATCTATCAGCTTAATCTTTTAGAATATTTGGC